GTTCACGAGCGACCACTTTTCTGTTTGTTTTTCCATAGACCATAACAAAGCATAGCTTCAGACGTCTTAGTTCCCAGAATGGTCATTTATGCTTTAGTTCAGCAGAGGTTTTCCAACCTCTATAGAAGTGTCAGCTCATGCATTCCTTGCTTTCTTTTTCACTGTCACACATGCAAATTGAAGAAAGTAGTAGTAAAAGTAAGCACAAACCCCTGTGCACGGAAGGCAAGGCTCGGTGTATGTTTTCACTGAACAACTACGTCCAATACAGCCAAAAAGTAACTTGCTCTTCTTGCTAAAACAGGTCTTTCAGTCTAAATTACCCAGTGCAATAACTTTATCTTATTGATGTTGTTGAAATTACTTTGTGCTGTCCACATTCTTTGTATTTGGCTTTTAAAGTCCGGAAAGACGAGGTGAGAAAGGCCGTGTTTGCAAAGCCCACTGGTCGCACACGAACAGAAAGTCAAAATACTCGTTGTCGTCAATATGTTAAACTAGATTCTGCGCTTTAAAATAATTTGATCCATCATTGAGCAGTATTTATTTTGACGAAGCCATCTTTTTCTTCCAGAACTGGTGATATTTCTACTCGACGCTTGAAATTGTGGGAAGAATGTTTCGAGGAACTTCTTGCTGATTTGCTTGGAAGAGAAACTTTGCAAAAGTTTCTTGATAAAGAGTATTCAGGCGAGAATCTTCGTTTCTGGTGGGAGGTGTGTTTCTTTTTCAGGGCAGTCTCTTATTGCTTAGCGTATCTCTATTGTTCTTATGCTTTTCGTTTAGGTTCAAAAGTTGCGGAAATGCAGCTGTAGAATGGTTCCTGTTCTCGTAACTGAGATTTACAACGAGTTCATAGATTCGAATGCAACATCGCCTGTTAATGTGGATTGTAAGGTAATAAATAAATTTCTCCGTTAAAATATGGCTTGCTTTCATTTGTATTTTATTTAATTGGTTTTTAATTCGGTCTTAAAAATGTGATGTTTTTTGTTAAGTTAATCTTTTCAAGGTGATGGAAATAACGGAGGAGAATTTGAAAAATCCTAATCGATGGAGCTTCGACGAGGCTGCGGTCTGTTCTTAGCATTTTTTCTTTCAATTTTGCAACCCTGAAATTTCACTAAGAGGTAGACTTTCAGGATCACATATTCTGCTTGATGAAGAATGACAGCTATCAACGTTTTCTCCGTTCTGACATTTATAAGGACCTCCTCATTCAGTCGAAGAAAAAGGTGAATCGCGGAACCATACTGCACAACTTATTTCGCATGTTCTTGATGCACGATTTGCATGCTTCAAATTCAAATTATTGAGCTGAACTTTCCATTATTATGTTCCTTCCTTGCATAAGTTTGCTAACGCGGTCTCTGCTTGGATACGGCGTTTCGTTCTGATATTGGAAAGTTTTGGCTCATTTACAAATGCATCTTATCTTTGGTCATTGCCGTATCGTTCCTTATGCTGAGCATATTGAACAATGCATTGAGCTTTTATTCTAGGTATGCCTCTTGGTGTGTGATTGTGTTCATTTGTTTTTTTAGAGCACATTTTCCTCGTTGCTAGCTCGTGCGGCTTCGCGCAAGCTCTCGCGTAAAGCTGCCTCCTCAACCAGTCCTATGCCCGCCATCCACAGTTCGCCGTGCCTGCTTGCTCCACCTTCTCAACAATGACACGCGCCGAATATCCAGGCTCGATCTGCTCGACCTACCTGTGCGTATGCTCTTCGTTAGCTCTCTGTTCACTTGTTCATGCATGGTTTGGTTCCTTCGTTCTAACTTGGTTCGCATGATTCATTGAATTTGGTTTTGTTTTGTGTGTTTTTAAGATTCCCCAAGGGTGAATAATGATAACTTTCACTGTTGCAGGTGCCGGTGAAGATGTCTAGAGATATCGGCATACGCTTCCCAACGTTGCCTGGTTTCTCTTCAAACGCAGTGCGCCGTGACGCAAACCTCACTGTTGGCGCTCAGGCAGTGGTGGCCACGAGCGGATCGTCAAGCTGCTCACCTACAACTGCTACTACCGTAGGCATTTGAGAGCTGGGTGGTGCTCTGTTTTACATTTCGTTTGTGTCGGTTGAGCATTGGTAGAAATATGTGTCCGTGTTCATCTTGTTTTCCTTTTATTTACTATGTTCTACCATATTTCCTTTGTTTTGTGAAGGCGTAATTTGTTTGTGCAGCATTTTGACGAGGTTTTCACGTTATCATACATAGCCCTTGGAATTGTGGCATGCTATTCCTTTGAAGCACTATTATTTCTTTTCGTTAATATGTTAATATTTCTTTTTCAATTATTTAGTCCAAGAAACACCATGGTGTGGTCGCTTCCTAGAATGGGTACTGAATCTTATTTGAAACCCGGTTCCTAGACAGTTCCCGTATTAGGAATTGGAACCTTAGTCGTCAGTTGAGATTGTCCTCTTTCTTGTTCATATTTTATTCATCTATTTCTGCTTCTTTTATATTGAAATGCTTTGGACGCATCTCATTGCTTCTAGTCTCAACTATACAAAAGCTTTAAGTTAGGACTAGAATTGAAATGATTACCACCAGTGAGGGATGCACGTACTTGTCGCTTTGGACAATTCCATGCTCTCGCACTATACATGCATCTCTTGTGTCGGCAGCTAGCTAACTCATTGTTATGTGGACCTATTTTTGTTATCACGCCTTTTTAGAGAACTAGCCGGCACCGTAAAGCCATCCGTCTTGAGATTACCTTTCGTTTCTAAAACGCCATGTTGCCCAAATCTAAGGTCAAGTATTGACGTACACTTGCTAGTGTTTGTTTACGAATGAGTTGGCTTTGTGATTGTATAAATGAATTTTACCCTACATTATGCTCTCTGTTGCAACAGTTAAAGATTTATGTGCTGCAAAAAATGACAAGCTTCAGCATGTGATAACTTCATCTGTAGTCGCGACTTTTCCTTGAGAAGCGATCGTCCCTTTTCTTCTCCACGGCTTCGACTTCTGCTGCGTCGACGCCGCTTCTCTTTTTCTGCCTCGCGTGAACTTTCTTCCTGCCTTCTCCGCTCCCGTCTCCGTTCTCGTTCCCTCTCTCTGCGCTCCATTTCTTCGACATATAAAATTTCGTCCCGTATCTAGAATGATAGGGCTAAATTAAAGTTGTTTAGAAAGACATCAATTCATTCCAATTGGAAACAAGGTCTTCACAAAGCTACAGAATATAAATGCTAGGACGTACACGTCTCTCCTTCTCCATCTCCTTTCTTTTCTCCTCCTGCTCTTCTTTGAGTTCTTCTACAGTTTGACGAAGGGCTTTCTTCATTTTCAGCTTTATTTTGCGGGCGATTTCTCTCTGAAAAATGCTCACTGCGCGAATAACGATTTGGAACGAAACACTTACCTTTTCTTCTTCATCCGAATCAACATGTGCTTCCTTGATCCCACCGCAACGATTCTCCCTGGAAATTGTTTGACATAGGAACTTCCCCTCAAAAGAAAACTACCATGCCATTGATCTTGAAGGCAAAGGACAGGATGGCGACCAAACCAATCCATTCCATCATCTATGCGTGATTACGCACCCACAAAGACGTTGCCACGCTCAGAATCCCAAACGGCGCGGTAATAAAGCCCCAGGGATGCATTGTTCGCTATCGCCGCCTGGCGGCGCTATGACCGCCCACCTCCGGAAGTGGTGCGTGGCTGGCTAACGTGTGAAATCAGCTAGGTTGATTGCCGTATCAACCGATGGAACGGCTGGCATATCCGGAAAACTCGTTTGGACGTGCCTCTCCCCAAGCAAGCCTCCTTCACTGCTAGAAGGGAAGGGGTTTCGTTTTCGGCCTTGTCGACGGTTTCTTTTCGTTTTTTCTCCACTGTCGTTCCACTTCGCATCTCTATACTCAGTTTCAATCGCCATAATACCCCCATATTGAGCCTGACTTTTGCCTTTGACAAAAAAATAACACATAAGCGCAAGTATGGGCTAGTGTTTTGCACCCCCCACAATCGAAACAAGAGGTGATTCGAATTAAATTATACCACTTACCGCACCATCTTCTTTGTTCGATTTATTCGACGTTTTCGGTTTTCAATTTCGATTCGCTCCTTCTCGGACTCGGACATGCTCGATCTGCAAATACTGAGTAGCAGCTCATAATTGAAAGTGACAACTCGGCTTCTAAGTCGAAATCACTTTCGACACATGAATCCAAAAGAAGAGCGTGAAGAGTGGGATGTTAGGATGCACCTTGACCTAGCGCCCTTTTATGTGCTCATGAAACCCTGGGAGTTACTTTCTTTTCCGTTGTGTCTGACTTCCGTAACATCTCTGTCTCTTTGAACCTTCCCGAAAACTAATTGACCGTCTCTTGAAGAATACATTGCAAAGCAACACCAGTTCACAAAAGGAAACGCCTTAGGACGTGGGTTATCATTGTCTAGAGGACGCGCCTCCAACGTGGTCGGGTTGAGGAACGTATACCCGAACTCGCTATGCTTACAACACGGGACTTCGGACGCGTCCCCTAACCCATGAGGAGCACGTGCTGCGATAGAAGGAATATAACACAGACTAATTTGAATTTCTTTCAAAACAATTCCCAGAAAGAATTTCAAGAGTGGAAAATTCATACCGTATCTCCAACATATCTTCATTGTCATCGTCTGAACGATTTGGATTTTGTAGGCGAATCACGGCGGTGCATCGAAGTTCCACGAGCAGAGTCATCTCGACGATCGCGAAACAAAGGTCTACAAAAGAGTGGGATTTCAGCAAAACACAAAGATGCCTAAGCAAATGTCCATCCTAAGGCACGCACTTTAGTCCTTTTCACGTCAATCGATTTAGTGGAGGAAAATCGAGTTGGCAAAATTCGGGACAATCTACTTATTTTATCGAAATGGAAGCACGAGCTTCCTTCGCAAAACAATCATCAGTAAGAAAGGTGAGTGAAAACGCTGCAAAATGCATTGCTCCTCAAGCGCTCATAAATGGAATTTAATGCCAAATAAAGTTCACCTATCAGTGCTGCTGCGGGACTTGCGCTCATGCGATCGGGAACGACTCCATCGCTTGTGATCGCCCCGATCCCTGCTTCGACTACGTGAATGTCGTGATCGACCCTGTCTCTCACAAGAACGCGAACGATTCCGACGCCGCTGAATGCTGCTGCTTCTCGAGCGCGACCTAAAGGATCAGCATAATGACCTTTATCAAACTATGGATTGCACTACCTAGTGGACTTTATTTGTCGATTCCTTTCACCTGACCTGCTCCTTCTTCTGAACCGACCATCGCGAGATGTCGCAGTGCTATCCTCGTGCACAGCCAAATGATCAGGACTTTCCGCTCGTTTGGTAAGATGACTAGAAAGAGTTTTTCGTCAAGATCGCTTCATTATATAAACCAGAACTTTGGTGTGTCGGTTTGTCGGTGTGTGTGTCGTTCTGTCCGTCCGGACCGACCGCTCACAAAACCAGGGAGTACGAAGGGCAACACTTCGTGATGTTGATGTCATGATCATGATAACACCCACAGCGGCTATATAAACACCGATCGAGCACACTCAGTCTCATTCTACATGCTGCCGTGGCAGCCGAGGGGAGGGTAGAAGGGGGAGGAAGGGGTGGGTGGAGAAGAAAGGGGATGGGCAGGGGGAGGGAGGAAAGGGGGAGTGCACCACTTTCAAGATTATGGTTTGATCCAGGGTTGAGGTATTATTGCAACGTGATTGTGATAATATTTATTTATTTATTTATTACTATGCACTCGTAGGTGCACTACAATAATTCTTCAGGAACCAAATCAGTTATAAATCAGGAACATTGATTTAAAATAAAATCAAATTAGCACTATTTTACCCACAAGCGGGAAGTTCTCAGACACCAGCTATTCGAAATCGTTGATGCCTAATAAGGCGAGTAAGTCAATGCTCTTTAATTTCCTTCTGAACGTATCGTTATTTCGCGACACTTGCAAGTATGTCGAAAAACAACAAAACACAGCGAGTTAAAAACCTTGATCTGATGATTTCTGCATAATCTAGGACATTGTAGTGATAGAGAAGTGATGCGACCTCTGCTCGGTCTCATTATCCAGTACTTACTCGGTTTCATCTTCAGTTCACCTTACAACAATTTGAAACAGAAGGCGACATCATACTCTTCTGTACAAAGTGATACCTCAAAGAATAAGAAAAAAAATAATAAGAAAAGAAATAATACCTCGAAGACTATATGCTTACTTAGTACACTTTCATTCATTTCACAAGGTGCTGCAGTGGCAGCTGGAGAGCAGTAGGGGGAGGAGGGGAGGATAAGGTGAGGAGGAGGAATCGCAAAGCTTCGCAGGGAAGGGAGGGTCCGGACTGTTGCCGGGGACCAATCTGGTTTGAATATAAGATATAGTCGAGAAGAGCGACGGAAGAAGATGAATGAGCACTTGAACTCTGAAGACCATAAGGGAGAGGCGCTTCTACAAGGGAAAATATAGGCTGCAGCGAAGGGTTCATTGATAAAGTGAGTGATAAGGTAGCTAATGAAGGGCGGGGTCTTTGAGGACGGTAGGCGGAAAACCAAATCCCCAACAGGCCTAGGGTTCAATTAGGATTTGGTAGGTCACGTTAGGACTTAAAGGTGCGCAGGGAAAGAAGGTCCCGGCAGTTGACGGGGGACCAACCTGGTATGCGTATAAAGCCCATCACTCAATCTGATCTTTGTGATCATTTCAGAATCCTGCCTGATGGTAGGTAAATTGGTTTTAAAACTGTTAGAAGAAAAAAAAAGAAAGATGCTAATGCTTCAGGATCTTCCCTGAAGCAGAAATATTTCCCTTCCCCGAAGGAATAGCACGGCCCATAGTCTGTGCTGGTCACGTCATATTCAATCAAAGTGGTCCAAATTTCGATTTCCTCACGCTTTGCCTATAGGGGAATTAAGGATCCTGATCACAATATAAAGCCCATCACTCAATCTGATCTTTGTGATCATTTCAGAATCCTGCCTGATGGTAGGTAAATTGGTTTTAAAACTGTTAGAAGAAAAAAAAAGAAAGATGCTAATGTTCAGGATCTTCCCTGAAGCAGAAATATTTCCCTTCCCCGAAGGAATAGCACGGCCCATAGTCTGTGCTGGTCACGTCATATTCAATCAAAGTGGTCCAAATTTCGATTTCCTCACGCTTTGCCTATAGGGGAATTAAGGATCCTGATCACAAATAATTAACCGTGCTAGCCTCCGTACTTTTGAAGTCGCCGTGGAGTAGTGGTAGTGCTCTCGAAATTTGCACTCCAACGGGAAGAGAACTTATGACCTCCCGGGTGAAGAGCGAGGGCACTACCACTACTCCGCGGCGACTCTGAAAGCCTGGAGTCCGCACGGTTCATATGCAACCTTTACTTTGACTGCTCACAACTTCCTTGGCAGGTTCATTTTGCAGTTTTAGTTTCCATATTTGTAATCAGCGTTTGAAGCTCTATCGATATATCTGGGTCTCAATTCAAAGTTCCATGGGAAGTTGAATGCCTTCCCGGTCAGGGGCGTGTTGCCAAGTACGCTGTTCGCCATCTAAGTGAAAGCCCCTACAGCATGCAAAGAACCGATTTGAAAAGTGCTCCATGTCCTAAACGAGCTCCCGTGTGCGTGCAAGCATCTTCTGTGTGAATCATTCTCGCACACATTTAGAAAACATTTGAGAGATTTTTACTAGATGAACAATTTCTTCAAGCTTGGCACCTTCCTTTCTATCAAACTTGTCAGAGTGGTTCACCTAATAAAAATCCAATAAGATAAACAGATGCGGAATACCAACAAAATGCGACGATATTCATTCGTTGGTAACTGAGGTCCGACTACAGGAACGGCAGCAGGTTTTTCCTCGTCATCATCTAGATCTGGAATTAGTCCTGTATTTAATCGATGACCGATGAAGTACAAAGTGAGGCCAAAATGTTGTTCAGAAAGCTACCTCTACGATCGTCACTGCCAAAAGTTGTGATGAACTGCGGTCGAGTATCCTCTTCAGAATCACTTGATGAACTCGTTTCGAAGATGGCTTTTTTCTTAGCAGCAGCACTTTCCACAAAGCTTAAAGGAGTTCCCCGTTATGGTGTGATTGCTTCTGTAAGAGTCGACTAATCTTAAATAAAGACCTGAGAAGTGAAACCGTAGCTTCATCAGGGCATCCCTTTCCCACAATAAGTGCTCGTTGTTTCTTTAACAGCAAACGCTCGTGTTTTGAATCTCGTCCCTGAAAAAGTCTGCACTACTACTAATAGACAGAGGATAAACATCATCAAGTTTGCTGCCCTAGCCTTCGTCAACTTCTCGATATATTTACCACGGTAAAATAGTGATCTCTAGCCTATGAATATAATGATGAGCCTGTCGAGGTCGGATATGAGAGTAAGCAGTTTTTTTTTTACAATTTAAGAAAGCAGACCAACGAGACCAATGAAAAATGATTTTAGAACAGCAGAACTCTAGTGATGAATTACAGGGTTGCAAACGGACAGCGAGAGCCGCTTTTTCTCGGTCGATGCGCCGCAGTTCAGCTGTTTCGGCTCGCGCGACAGCGTCTGCATTCAGGAGTCCAGCAAAGCCACCACGACGGACACCATATGCTTCTCCAATGCAATTCACTCTACGCTGTGATTCAGCATCTGCGCCGCGGAGGTCCAGTTCGACATCTGAAGTAAGGAGTTATCAAGATTTACGATTTTACACAATGCTTCAAGAAATTGATTGGACAACAAGCACATGCGAAAGGGGAACCATGTTTGCGGAACGCTAAATTTCTACGCAGCTCTTCCCCTGATCACTCCAGAAGCAATAACCTGTTTCTTTTACAATTAACACTATGGAGATTTGTCGTTCACAAACCCAATTCATTTTAGTATTCCTAATGCATTCTACAAAGTTACTGATCTAACAAACAATTTTGAAGTAGGCTTAAGACACATAACTGTAAATTTTTGTACAAACTTTAAGAAGATATGCAATGACTAATATGGGTAGGATACTTGCCAATGTCTTCCGGCTGATCTATATCAGTGTCGTCATCACTAGCCTCAGTATCGCCGCTCTCCTTCTTCACTACTACAGAATTTTCATAGTTGAATCCAATGGTCGCCTTGGACTCCGCAGACTTTCTGTATCAAATATACAATTAAAAAGTTAATGTTTGAAATTAAGCGTTATTCATTAAGGCGGACGTTACGAAAAAAGTGTTGCCCACTGGAACTGAAAGTGAAGACGGTTGAGCGCCCGAGTGAAAAATCCGAGAAAAAAGTATTGAAACCCGCGAAATAGAACCTTTCATCCCTCTGCCTTCCGCCTTGGATGAGACAAAGACAGACGAGCTTGTTTGTACGTGCTGATACCAATGGCCGGTATGACTTCAACAGACATCAACTTTCCAGTAATGACACATTATTTAGAAAAAAAAAACTAAGATACAGCCGCTCAGTATGAAATGCCCTATTAATGGAAGGGGATTATGGCGATAACAGTATCATCACCCAACCAAGCATAGCCCGAGCCCTTCCACTTAGAAGAGGGTCGCGCCATGGCAGGTGGCCCCTGCCACGGGTAGAGTTAGCCACAAGCCTCTGCTCCTTCCTCATGGAAACCCCTTCTTTTACATCCAGTTTATCGTAACATCCTCCTTCAAGAGCGTCACCTACTTCTTCTTGTCATGCTCAGATTTCAGTTGATCATCTTTCGGGATTCTCCAGAACTCTTTTTCCGCAATTTTACGCAGATAATCCTGAATTTATGAAACTTTCGCAATACAAATATCACGTTGGAGTGAACCAGATAAAAATCAGCACCTTTTCCGAAACGTCACGGAATTCGTTGATTATCAGCACTCGATATCGCTCGAAATCACAGATCATTTCAAGTTTTTCGTCCTCACTCAAAATAGTCAATTTAAAAGGTATAATCAGCTTTGCCTTAATTAGCAACAGTCAAAGTCAGACCTGTCAGGTTCAATAGACTTCTTTTTAACTGGTGGAATGAAATCTAGATGAGAGCGCACATCGAAACGATCAATCAGAACTGAAGGATCTCCTTGCCACTTCCGCCTGTATCAAAAAGAATATTGAATATGGTAACGATGTCGATAGGTAAACAGCCAAATTTGATCCTACTATATATAATTCGCTAAGTATGTCTGTGTGTGTGTGTGTGTGTGTGTGTTGTCACGAAATTCATAGCGCGCTTCGCTGCAACAGTGGAGCGCTGTATTTTGAGTATGATGTAGGGGGTGGGACGGGAACATATTTGGTGGGGCCAAAGTGATAACGACTGATAAGATCCGATAAGAGGCGCCAAAACGCCAATTCACGATATCCATAGCGCGCGTCCCAGCATCAGTGAGGCGTTGGTTCCAAGAAGTGATGTAGAGGGTGGGACGGGAACATATTTGGTGGGGGACAAAGTGATAACGGCTGATAAGGGCCGATAATAACGATATGCGCAAGAATATAGAGGTCACTCAAAACCAGACTTTAGATAAAGCATTTCATTTCAATATTCTTTCCATTTGCGTTGTTATCATCAGCCCGAAATACCACTAAACCGCTATGCCCCCCAGAGTTCCTAAAAATGTATGGTGTAATGTTCAAAAATACGATAAGGCGTGCTTGATGTTTTTATTCCAACATCACACACAATCCGACTGCTAAGAGACACTGACATTCATGGTGCTTGTTTTAAAATAATCGAATAGTAATCATTGAAGGAAATTGATGACCGGAAACGCATTTTATCACAAAAGGACACTATAGAGACTTGCATAGAAACCCATTGAACTGATACTCACAATATGTTACTATCTTCTGCCGCCTTTGCGATACTCTTCTCTGTGTGTATAATACATTTGCGGCCATGCAGTTGCATGAACTGGTCCGGATCCTTTCGCTGGAACAACAATGTTGATGTCTTCGTCAAACGAATAGTAAGCAACAATGCAACAATAGAAGTACAATCTACAAGAGAACCAAACGACTTTGCCTTGCTTTGATAATGCTTTCTCAAACAGCTCGCGAAACGACTTACCACAGATAAAGGGGCAAAACATTGTTCCTCTAACTCGTACTCATGCTTTCTTGGCACTCGGCTAAATCGTCACATCGTGTAACCTCGCGCGCACTCGCTTTTCTTTTATACGTCTCATGCGGACTACACTGCGTTCAATAATGATACAGCCACCTAAAATTTGTTCGAAAACTAAAGTTCATAGAGTTTCTGAAAAACTGTCCAGATAGAAAATGTGACAAATTTCATGGCGAGTTCAGATATCAACACAAAAATCCATGTTGAAAACACTAAAAAATTTTGTGCTTATTTTTTCAGAAGAGGTCGATTTTCCTATGTTCAAAAATGATACAGCCACCCCGTGTTTCTTCGTTGAAATTCATTTTTGCTTCATGAAACTGATTCGCAGTTATCAGGCTTTCACCTTAATGTTCCCACAAGATAAAAAAGACAGTTGGTTTGAAAAAGGGTAAACTGTAGCAAAAAAGGACCAGGAATCGTCAAGCAGTCATATTGCGCAAAAATTGAGTCAAAGCTCCAATACGGTTAACAATCTTTTCTGGAATCCTGTAGGTTATGGAACAACGAAGAGCTCTGGATGTTCATCATTGCTTTTTGGTCAAGTTAAACTTCGCATTTTGGGGAAACATTTCAATTTCATCGAACAGTGCCCGGAATTCCAGTCTTCTTTCAGAATTAAACTTTCAATGGATATTGTTTGGGATGTGTTGAAGATTTTCCGAGGTCATTCTTCAATGGAGAATTAAAGAAACCTTGTTTGTGAAAAGAAATTCTCTCGAAAACTGAGACATTTTTTGCTCGAAAGTGTAGCCACGTCCACTGGAGCAAGATCAGTTCTTTTGTCTGTTGTGTCTTACTTTCTGTTTACTTTCTTTCGAGTTTTTCCTTCCTCATTAAGGGTTTTTCCTTTCATTAGACTCCTATGAAGCGAAAAACATTGAGAGAAACGCAGACAGAAAGTAAGACATAACAGACAAAAGAACTGATCTTGCTCCAGTGGACGTGGCTACACTTTCGAGCAAAAAATGTCTCAGTTTTCGAGAGAATTTCTTTTCACAAACAAGGTTTCTTTAATTCTCCATTGAAGAATGACCTCGGAAAATCTTCAACACATCCCAAACAATATCCATTGAAAGTTTAATTCTGAAAGAAGACTGGAATTCCGGGCACTGTTCGATGAAATTGAAATGTTTCCCCAAAATGCGAAGTTTAACTTGACCAAAAAGCAATGATGAACATCCAGAGCTCTTCGTTGTTCCATAACCTACAGGATTCCAGAAAAGATTGTTAACCGTATTGGAGCTTTGACTCAATTTTGCGCAATATGACTGCTTGACGATTCCTGGTCCTTTTTTGCTACAGTTTACCTTTTTTCAAAACAAACTGTCTTTTTTATCTTGTGGGAACATTAAGGTGAAAGCCTGATAACTGCGAATCAGTTTCATGAAGCAAAAATGAATTTCAACGAAGAAACACGGGGTGGCTGTATCATTTTTGAACATAGGAAAATCGACCTCTTCTGAAAAAATAAGCACAAAATTTTTAGTGTTTTCGACATGGATTTTTGTGTTGATATCTGAACTCGCCATGAAATTTGTCACATTTTCTATCTGGACAGTTTTTCAGAAACTCTATGAACTTTAAGTTTTCGAACAAATTTTAGGTGGCTGTATCATTATTGAACGCAGTGTAGGTGCCCAAAACTCCTCCAAAATCACGTTTAACCCTTTGACGACCGCATGGCCCGCCGGCGGGCCATGGCAACTAATTTCTTGTATTTCCTCCCTTTTGACATTTTTGGAAATTTTAGTTACTAAATATGTTCACAACACCCTAACAAGGCTATGTACACAGTGGTCCACGAATTGCTTTCTTCTAGGAGAAATCCAGAAACAATAGGCCTAAAACACTTCTAATGGTAATGTTAGCAAAAATATCATCATTACCCACAGAATAAGAACACAGCACATGTGGTGGTTTTTGAAAAACCGGAGCAGTAATCTTAACTGCAATTGTTGCCACACTAGTAATATTCCTTGCATGGTTCAGTCGATAGGACCCAGTCGTTGCGGGCTTCACCAATTGTTTGGTTTGTGAAAAATATTGTCATTTAGGTGTAATACAAATTAGATGTAATACAAATAGCATGTAAGTAAAAGTGAGAGTTCTGGTTGGTGCAGCAAACGGCTGCCCTGTCAAAAAGGCTAGCTATACTAAGGTTCCAATTGAAGCCACTAAATTGGAATTCAGTGTGTGGTAGTAACCGTCTATTGAATAACGTTACTTGTTATTGACACCACAGTGACTAAAGAAAGAAGCTTGAAAGAAGCATTTGTATTCAAATCTGGTCGATTTTTGAATGCAAGTTTTGCGCAAGAAAACAAATTGTTTTCGGTAGCTGCAACTTCAACAGTATTATCAAAACACTTCTGTTACACTAATATTCTGAGGTCTTTTTCATTGGTCTTTTTCAGTACTTTGCTAATAATCCATCTGCGTTAGAATGTATGGTTGATTAGTACGACGACTTACCTAAGAAAGTTTGCAATTTAGTCAATGTTGCTATAATTAAGCAAAAATGCGGTCTCCTGGGACCGTATGGCCCGCCGGCGGGCCACATGCGTGTCTGGCGTGCGGTCCCACACGCTAGACACGTTTAGAGCGCGCGGTCGTCAAAGGGTTAAAAGGGGGAGAGTGATCACAGAGACAACAAACGTTACATATTGATGCTGTTACTTCATTTTCCTGCTTATACCTACTGTCCCCATCTAGCACTTCATGTTCATGTTGTTTACCTTTGCACAACTAACTTCGCTTCCAAAATAATACATCCTTTTCTTTTCAATACCTAAAACAATACGCTCCTGAAAACATTGTAGAGCGAGAGGAAGAGGAGGATGAGGAGGGGGAGGGGGAGTAAAGAAAGAAAGTTTCATGAGCGTGTGTAGTACAAAGGAGGAAAATTCCTGAATTTCTAAAATTTCAAATATTTCCCGGAACATGTTATTAATCTTTCAAATGAGCGCCCTAGTACCTGCTATCCTTCGACAGAACACTTTGATTACACCCCATGCCACACACTCCCTGAGAAGTGAAGTAGACCAACACTCTGAGCGAATAATTCCGACGTTGGAATGCCTTCTCTAGCACGTCCATTGGTGAAATACAACGAGGTAATATGTTCAGATTGCCGGAACTGGGCTGGGGTGAAATGATGATCCCACCACGACAGTCATAAGTGATCCCAATCCTCTCCAACGTAATGGTTGACACCGGCTAATTTTTCTTTGGTTTCTATCTGGTCACAGCGTCCGCACTGCCACGAGTTGCAAGGTCTTAGCAGTTCTTGCTTCACCAACAAGCAACTTGCTTGACGCTACAAAATGTGTAAGAAAAAAGTTCAATAATAATTCGAACTAACAACACTGTCGTAGAATCTTCTTCGCTTTTCCGCTCTTTTAGAGCAGTCCACAATCCGCGCTCGTAACTGCTTCTCCTGACGACGAGCCTCATGCCACATCTCAATACTGTAAAAGAAAAAAAAAAGAATCAGAATACTACAAAACATGTAGCCACTGAGCAGTTTCTGTCTTTTGTACAGAAAACAAGATGCTTCTCAACACATACTCTGCCCAAATTGATGATATTAAGTTTGAAAATGCGAAAGAAATGAGATTCCCCTGTTAGTGCAAAACATAGCATTTAGTACGTGTGTGCTGAAAACATAATAGTAGAATGATGGGTTGAGATCAGGACGTCTTAGCATTTCTTGTAGCACCTAATATCATTTCCTCTTTCGTATCTGTAACTCCATTTCATCAAGATCTATCGACCTACAATATCTAAATGATGAGCAAATGAAATTTGAAAAAAAGGTGAGAACGCAGAAAATTGAAGAGTGAATGTGTCAGGGTGTGGTTCACTGGGACAAAAAGCGATTTTTGCGTTTCGCAGCGCGAAACATTTTTCGCTGCGGGAACCTCAGGTCCACCGCTGATCATGAGTGGACCTGGAGTTCCCGCAGCGAAAAATGTTTCGCGTGCGAAACGCGAAAAAGTCGCTTTCTGTCCGAGTGAACCACTCTCAAGGCCCCAGACAACGATTTCAATAGCCAAACGAATGAATGTGTATAACAAAAAAGGCCACCGCTCCTTATGACACCCAGGACCTAGAAAAGAGGCAAACTAATCTCGAAATAGTAGATTCCGAGAAACGGTGAAGATTGGAATCAGCAAAAGGGACATACTTTTTATTATCAGATGAACACAATTGCAACAATACTGAGGAAATAAGTACTATGAAAGTGATCACAATGAATCTAATAGGAAGGTCACGAGTGTAAAACGCATATACAAGGTAATAATAGCAATTTTCAAACAAAGAATTCCTTGCACCGTCGGTCTAAAATTCCATGAGCTCGAGCGAGTAATGTTTCTTGACGGATAAGAGCATCGTCTATCCCTTTTAGTTCCTAGAAAATCGAAGTTCCAGGGCGTCACCAACGAATCAATAGAAGCTAGAAACGGACATACTAACTTACATCCTCGTAAACCTCTTCTGGATGATCAAGTTGCCACTGCAGGTCTATTTTTGTGAATTCAGAGCATACATCCAAGCATGAATCACGAAACTAAAAAGGAGTGTCACTTCTCTGCTACCATGGGAAGAGCTACTTCAAACACAACCTCTACTCACATAAACTCGCAGGAGAGCTACGAGTTAGAAATGCGTGATGTCCACAGCGAATGCTGCCGACATGCGCACCCGACTGTCAAGAACACGGTGTTCTCGTAACGAAAAGTTCTGCGCTCGAGAGCAGAAAGATAGCTTTCTGTCGTAACGAATCACGCCTGGCTGAGCAGATAATCACGCAGCACTGGCCGATGTCAGACTTTGCGATTGGAGCGATTGTGTACCGCACATCACGGCCCGAGCGATGGATCGCTTGAGCGATCCGTCGCTTCAAAGTGCGAGCGACGGGAGATTTAGCCGTGTGTATCGGTGGTCGGCGGTGTAAATCTCCCGTCGCTCCTGCAATCGCAAAGTCTGACATCGGCCACTGGGCGCGTGCACAGCATATTCTGTCGAGAATCTTGAAACTAGTGACTCGGGGATCATTCTGCAAGACAAATACCCTGAGTAGAAATCACAAACCACCATGCATATTTTGGCGCTGAGGCAGTGGAAACGAAGGAGTCCCCGACGCTGCTCGCGGCATTTCTGCATCCTCCTAGCGAGACAGTGGGAACTTGTCCATCCCAGCTCAAAAACAGCAAGCGCGGCGCGGTACGACGGCGTTTCCCCCTTCCCCCAACTATCTAGTGCCCATATTTCCCACGCGAGACTGATTTCGCATCACCTTGGAAACATGAAAAAAGGTGCATGTTGACAGCGTACGAAAATGCCTTCTTATCTCAGGAAACTCTTACATACTCACATGATACATCGATATTTCCACAACTTCTTTGACATGATCAATGGTAGATGGCGCTGGAACAGGTGCACGCGATGAGACATTTGAAAGAAGTTGCGCCCAGCGGACCATTAGAGAATCAATGGCATCACCAAGAGGCGTTTTTTCCAATTCTTTGTCTTCGAAGATTATATTGACTGGCTCCTCTTTTGTGATCACTGAACGACATGGATTCAGTACCAAGGATAGCTAGATATAATTTAGTTCATAGCGTTTAACAGGTACACCTAGCATAGAAAGTAAATGACACTGGTGTATTAGCTCAGCTCCAATAGCTTCAACACTATATGAAAGTGAATTGCAATCATGCTGCTAGCCGTGAGATTTGTCTGAAGATTTTACTGTCGAATAAAACCTATTCAAACCTCTGTAAGAAACAATCTAAGCATAAAAATAGACAGCGAATGACCTTTCGTAGATTCACATGGAGATGATGGTGTTGAATCATCACCTAAGACCAACTGTTTCAGTTGCGACATCGCAGGCGATCCTATTTTGAAATGAAGTGAAAAACGTCAAACATACGCTAAAATCCGTCAAAACAGCACTATGTAATGAATATGAGTTGTAAATGGTGGACTGACCTTCCATTGAATTTCATCAACTATTTCTTTGCTTTCGCTACGGCTGCCATTCCATGAGAGATGTACCGATACTATGAAACTTTAAAACGCATTACACATTATCCTGTAGTACATCTTGACCAAGCGGTTTATTATTTTTATGTGCTTGGTTCAGATCCAAAAAATTGTTCAAGAGTTCAGAGTTGAAGTGATTATGAGCAACTACTATCAACAACGAAACAACAGGTTACTTCCATGAAACCAGTGCAACAGGTCAATAACAGGGTCTAGCGGCGTTCAGGTTCAAAGCGACTTTTTCGCGTTTCACAGCGCGAAGAAATTTTTGCTGCGGGCACCTTAGCTCCAACGCTGATCATGGGTGGACCGCGAGTTCCCGCAGCGAAAAATCGCGCTGCTAAACACGAAAGAGTCGCTCTCTCCTAGCGAAACACACCCGTGATGTTAAGGCATGCCAAGTCTTCACCATTTTGAATACTGCTCGATATCCACGAAAGAGGTATGGACACACCACATATGAATTGTGTTCAGCAGAAAATCGGCGAGTCGTGCCCCGCCTCGCTATTACAGATGGTACATAAATCCACGAGGTTCAATGTTTTCAACACCTGCCAATTGCGTGCGATTACGTACTACTTAACACTACCGTATTCCTAGCTTTGGGTCTGCCGCTCAACGGAGAGACAACGGCGAAACGAAAAAAAGCACATTGAAACAGTAATATCTGCCAAAGCTTCAATTCTCGATAATAATTTCAACGGCAATGTCTGCCAAAGCTTTCAGGCAGTTGACGAAACACTAAGGCATCTTGCCAACAACTTTGCTATATGGTCTACGGACAACTTGAACTCAGTCCTTTGAAACCGCCGCGATTTGATGCTCTCGCCTGCGCTCTCTCGCTTTAACAGCTTATGATTACTGTGATCTGATACAATCAAACTTTGTCAAGAAATAATTGGCTTGTCCAATCAACAAGCGCAAGAAAAAGCAAAACGGCAGACAAAACGTCAAAATATAGAAAAAATGCATCGAAATTAAAAATTTGAATTGAAGGTTTTGACTTGTTTTGTTTGTTAACTGCTGTTT